TCCTGTCCCCAAATAACTTTTTCATAAGTTAATTATTACTTCTTAAGGGCAAAGCTATAATGGATAGCTGAGTAAGACTAGTGCTGAAAATGAGAGAAGGACCCAGGGGTGTTCTTTCATTTTCTCTTTTACCTCCAATCTTTCCCCTTTCAAGCTACAGGTAAAAGCTCCACCACCATTAAGGTATTAACTTATCCTATGAATTTGATTCTTTATTCTTCTCAGTTCTAAGATAGTTCTTTTTTTAGTCCATCAATTTTTGTGCTTGATACTAAGGGCTAAAGGAAAAGGATGGGATAAACACCAAATTAAAACAAAAAGCTTGGAATGCAGGCTCAAGCTGACACTGAGTATGTTCCTTCATAGTACAAATAACAACGTTATAACTATTAGATGGTGTTTTAGTAACTGTTGCATTTCTGGTTTCCATGTGCTTATTCTGCCTTTTTTTTGGCGATTCCGGGGAGTTTTGCTTGGATCCTATTGAGAAAAGTGGGGCGGGGGAGAGAAAGAAAGTGAAAATGTAAGCATTTGCTCTAGGTTTTTATTTTAACAGTGACGCTAGTGGACAGTCCTGGACTTGTGTAAGAAATGTGAAAAGCATTCTCTCAGCCAGGAACAGTGGCTCGCACCTGTAAGTAATCCCAGCACTTTGGGAGGCCAAGGCAGGCGATTACTTGAGGTCAGGAGTTTGAGACCAGCCTAACCAATATGGTGAAACCCTGTCTCTACTAAAAAATACAAATATTAGCTGGGTGTGGTGGCGCACGCCTGTAATCCCAGCTACTCAGGAGGCTGAGGCAGAATTGCCGGAATCCGGGAGGTGGAGGTTGTAGTGAGCTGAGATATTGCCACTGCACTGAGCAAGACTCTGTCTCAAAAAGTGTAGAAGCTGGCAATGGTTCCTAGCCCTTCACAGGATGCCAAAGGTCCCTTTTATTCTGGCAAAGGTGTTCTGAAATCATTAAGGCATCACTATGGACATTCATATCCCTCAGTGAATGTCAAGGCTACTCTCTCCACAAATGCCACATCTCACAGCAGGTGACACACATCAGCTAACACTGGCAGTTAAGACATCAGATCTGTCCAGGCACAGTGGCTCACAGTGCTCACTCCCAGCATTTTAGGAGGCCAAGGGAGGAAGATCACCTGAGGTCAGGAGTTTGAGATCAGCCTGGCCAACATGGTGAAACCCTGACTCTACTAAAAATACAAAAATTAGCTGGGCAACTGTAATCCCAGCTACCTGGGAGGCTGAGTGAGGTAGGAGAATTGCTTGAACCCAGGAGGCAGAGGGTTGCAGTGAGCCAAGATAGCGTTACTGCACTCCAGCCTGGGTGAAAGAGCAAGACTCCATCTCAAAAAAAAAAAAAAACATCAGATCTAAAGCTGAGCTACGATCATCTTTCACAAATAAGGGGTAAAACAACCAGATTAAAAAAAAAAATTATACACACACACACACACACACACACACACACACACACACGTATTTTTTGAGACATAGTTTAGCTCTGTTGCCAGGCTGGAGTGCAGTGGCGTGATCTCATCTCACTGCAACCTCTACCTCCCGGTTCAAGTGATTCTCCTGCCTCATCTTCCCAAGTAGCTGGGATTACAGGCATGGGCCGCCATGCACAGCTAATTTTTGTATTTTTAGTAGAGATGGGGTTTCACCATGTTGGCCAGGATGGACTCGATCTCCTGACCTCGTGATCCGCCCACCTTGGCCTCCATATATATATAAAAATATATATATAATTATATATTGTTATATATAATATATATTATATAAATATACATAAATATATATTTATATGTTTTGAGGTGAAGTTTTTTTTTTTTTTTTTAAAAGACCACTGTCAGAAAATTGCTCTTGTTGCCCAGGCTGGAGTGCAGTGACATGATCTCGGCTCACTGCAACCTCCCCCTCCTGGGCTCAAGTGATTCTACTGCCTCAGTCTCCTGAGTGGCTGATTACAGGCATGTGCTTCCATGCCTGGCTAATTTTTGTATTTTCAGTAGAGATGGGGTTTCACCATGTCAGCCAGGCTGGTCTCCAACTCCTGACCTCAGGTGATCGGCTTGCAACAGCCTCCCAAATTGTTGGGATTACAGGCGTGAGCCACTGTGCTTGGCCTAGATATATATATTTATGCTAACTGTCCACCTGGCTTTAATACCAATGTATACTTTTTTTTTTTTTTTTTTTGAGACGGAGTTTCGCTCTTGTTACCCAGGCTGGAGTGCAATGGCGCGATCTTGGCTCACGGCAACCTCCGCCTCCTGGGTTCAGGCAATTCTCCTGCCTCAGCCTCCTGAGTAGCTGGGATTACAGGCACGCACCACCATGCTCAGCTAATTTTTTGTATTGTTAGTAGATACGGGGTTTCACCGTGTTGACCAGGATGGTCTCGATCTTTTGACCTCGTGATCCACCTGCCTCGGCCTCCCAAAGTGCTGGGATTACAGGCTTGAGCCACCGCGCCCGGCCTAATTTTGTATTCTTAGTAGAGACAAGGCCTAGCTATGTTGCCCAGGCTGCTCTCAAACTCCTGGGCTCAAGCCATCCTCCTGCCTCAGCCTCCCAAAGCACTGGCATTACAGGTGTGCATCAAAATGCTTGGCCTATTGATAATTTTTAATCTAAGATAATAAAGGTCCAGAAGGCAGGGCCAAAAAAGAAAGATACAAAGGATTTTTTTTTTTTCTTTTTACAGAAGCAGCCATAATAATTTCTAGTAAAATGAAACTATTAACCAAGGTTTTTATTAGAGTGAAAATTACTTTCCTTGGATCACCATTTTATATAAGGTACTAAAGATAACTGGAGGGAAGAAAGCATACCTCATGATGATGTGGTCTCTCAAAGTACTTACTTTTCAACAATTGACTTGGTCTGATCTCGGGCGATGCCAACGTAGTGATCAATCTGGGTCTTTGAGGAAGGAAAATAGATTCAGTTGTGGCAACATACCAGGTCACCAATTTTCCTGGAGGCATTGCTCTTTTGTCTAGTTTAACCATTTTTTAAACACTACTGACTAGTCTAGAAAACGGAAATACCCAGTTTTTAAAAGTATTTTTAAAACCTCTGGTTTCAGAATCCAAATTACACCATAAACACCCCATACTTTGTTAAAATTTTTTTAAAAAATCACTCATCTTTTGCAGAGGTTAAGTCTTACTTGTTAAGTATTTTCTTTAGAGACACTGGAGTATATAAGTTTCCAAATACCAGAAACTGTGTCTAATCTATTTTCTGTGATCATGTTTGTTATGGCTCTTGTGTAATACCAATTCACTTAATACCAAAAGCCAAAAAGTCTCTTGATGGAAGAGTTAATCCATAATTAATAATCTCATAGTTATCTAGTATATTTGGTACACATCATCCAACAATGCAAACACTTGTTCACACAGATGGATTACCTTAATAACCTAGAGCTTAAAGTTTCCTTTTAGACACCTGGCTTTTATTCATTTAAGCATTTTTTCTTTATTTTCTTTTTCTTTATTTATTTTCTTTATTTATAAGATGAAGTCTTGCTCTGTCACCCAGGTTGGACTACAGTGGTGCAATCTCAGCTCACTGCAACCTCCGCCTCCTGGGTTCAAGCAATTCTCCTGCCTCAGCCTCCTGAGTAGCTGGGACTACAAGCGTGTGCCACCACACCAGGCTAATTTTTGTATTTTTGGTAAAGATGGGGTTTCACCATGTTGGCCAGGCTGGTCTCAAACTCCTGAGCTCAAGTGATCTGCCTGCCTCAGCCCCACAAAGTGCTAGGATTACAGGTGTGAGCCACTGCTGCTGGCCTTTTTGAGACAGTTTTACTCCCATCACCCAGGCTGGACCACAATGGCACGATCTTGGCTTGCTGCAACCTCTGCCTCCTGGGCTCAAGTGATTCTCCTGGCTTAGCACAGTAGCTTGATCTAGAGGTGCAGGCCACTGCACCTGGCTAATATTTTTTGTAGAGACAGAGTTTGCCATGTTGCCCAGGCTGGTCTTGAACTCCCGGGCTCAAGGGATCCTTCTGCCTCGGCATCCCAAAGTGCTGGGATTATAGGTATAAGTCACTGCACCTGGGCTAAGCATTTTTCCAACTTATTACTTTTGCATAGAAAATACATCCACATGATTAAAAACTCAAAAGGCATCCAAGGTATTAAAAAAAAAAGTTTCTCTTTCCTACTCATCTCTCTCCTAAACATCCAGTTTCTCTTCTTGGAGGAAACTAATGCCACCAGTTTCTTATAGGCATTTGCCTCACAAAATTGGATGGTAGAAATAGTTATAAAAAGACTGCTCTGAAATTCACTGTCTCAAAAATGAACTAAAAGTAGTCACACATCAACTGGCACA